GCTCTCTTAAACTTGTTTCGTGAGAAACAAAGATTACGGCATACAAAATGTTCATACGGGCTTTATACAAGTACGCCTGTGATGTCTGGGACCCGCATACTAAATATCGAGTTTCAGATTTGGAGCAGGTGCAACGACGTGCGTTGCGTTTTATTTACTCCTGTAACAGAAGGCTAGACTCTGTGTCACCTCTTTATAGTAGAGCGCATCTTATAAGACGGAGAACGTCTTAATATTTTTACAACATTAAAAAAAAAAACCTCGTTCTTGTGAATAAACAGCAGTATATAAATTAATGTATTTCGCTTATCACTCGCGATGAGCGTACTAGATATAAGGAATCGTGAAGGTTTTCTAAGGATTGTTTTAATCCTTCATTTTTCTTGCAAAGAGTGCGAAAATGAAACACGCTCCCTGCGCATGTCGTGACTGCTAAAATTTGGAATGAATTAAGCTTCTTTATCTCAGGCATTTCTGCCAGCTGTACCTGATTGGTTCACTACTGAAGTGTACTTTTGTATTGATGGGTGTCTTTCCCGCGTGATTCTATTTGATTGTGCAATACCACTCCTATATAGGTCCTGTATAGGACCGAAGTATTTCAAGTAAATAATATAAGTTTTAAAAATTATGATTCGCTGGGTGCTTGGATAGCCCACTCCAGACGTGTCTTGAGAGCCATGATTGATCATCAGCGTTCCGAACGACTTCTCTCAACAATCTTCCAAAGCTGGTCGGCGCCAAGCAGTAAGCTGATTTCTCCTGCATCTTTGATTTCAGAAAAAAGCATGAATCGGTGGGCGTTTTGCCTTGCTCCCGGAGAATTGTACAAAACCATGATCTACAGGATGCTCCTCGATGTCATTTCAAATGCGGGGTACCACCGCCTCATCTAGAACGTGCTCTGATCGGTGGCTCTTTTTTTTTACTGGGTTGGCCCGAAAACGCTAACGTTGTGGCCCACCTTTCCAAGCACTTGCATATTACAGCGGTGATAAATTTCTTCTCGAACAAATTTTCCTTGGCCCCCACTATTCATGATTCCTCTAGCACATATACAGGCCCTGTTATCAGCAACCCATGTCCTGAAAGTCTGTACAAAGATCTGCGGTGTCTCCTTTTGAAATGGGTTGTCAGTAGCGAAGGTATGTTGTGTCTTGGTATATATTTCTTGGGCGTTGTGTCCTGTTCTACTCCTTTTGGGATCACGCATGGTCGTCCCGTATCTTCCTTTGCGCATACCACGCAATATAAGGCGTTTGGAGTGTCGTGCTTTGTGAGCTTGCATCGTGCACTTAAAACAACGTCTTTCTTTTGAGATTCTGTGTTTATTTACTTCTAAAGTTTCTGCGTGATCGTACTCTTTTTCATGCTCACGCGAGCCGCAGAGAACGCAGTCTTTTTGCAATTGCTTCGTACGACAGTGGAGTACTGCTACAGTGTGGTACTGCTGCGGTTGACACTGAGTCCACCCTTGTGATGGGTTCGAGGGAACGAGTTCTCTTTCATGTTTTTGTCGGAGACATCACACTTTTTTCTGCTTTCTACTTACATTTTCAAGAACTCAAAAATTCCTTCTAAGTCGGCGGTAACCGAAGTTACCGTATATTGGCTGGGACGACTGTAGCGTTGTATCCGACAGTAGTTTATCATGGCTCCGTATGTCAAGACCTTCAATAATATCTCGCAGTGCATGGTCCACTACGAAACAGCGTCGACCCATAGACTTTCCTAGACTTCTTAGACCTCCTTTGTTGATCTGTACTGCGTCAAATGATTTCGAAGAGCAACAGTTTCGCTCTTCGACACCAGGAGTCCGTTACTTCAGAACCGGCGATGCGATATAGTCTTAGTAGCCGCTCCAGTGAGAAGTGATCGCAGGTACTGAAATTTACCCATGTTTCTTAGTTGAGCATTTTAGTGTACTCTGTAGTGAACATAGCACAGAACGACTGCCACTCTCCAATACACCAACTCATGTTTACAAACAAACCGGAGCGCCCCTAGCGGACGCCACCGGCGCCGTGCATGCGCGGTGGACGGTGGGCAAGAAGCTCGCCGTCGCCCATAAACAAACCATTGAATTGCGTAGTTCTCGGCGTCGGTGTGAGTCCCCGTGCTCTTTTTCGCGTTGGAATTGTTGATTCTACGTCCTCCTAACAATGTCTGACTACTTGAGCGGCTTCAGCAAAATTAACGAGGCTCGTTACACCGCAAAACTTCGCGTGATTAATGTGACGTGCGGCGATTCATTTCACGTGGACGCCGCAGAATGGGCGCTAAAGCCTGACTCCCACGATGAAATTCTGCTCGCTATTTTCAGTCGCGACGTCGCTCGGGCTGCAAAAGCGTGGACCGTAGCTGAGATGGTGGACGTTGATACTTAGAACCGCAAGTAGAATCGGGCATTACAAATCGGTGATGGCCATTGGTAACAATGATCAACATCTTCCTGTATCTACTGTTTATACTTAGCCTACTTACCCCAACCAATCTTCAAAAGTGTTTTGAGGCCTGCACTTACTTCAAATCGCAATTACCGGGTCAACGTTTGGTTTACGGGCCGCTTTTGTTTGAGCGAGCAGACAACAAAAAGCAGACAAGTTTGAAAGCGCAGACGAAAGTTCAAAGTACGAACGATCAAGCGGCCATGTTAATTTGAAGACTCACTGAGCCCGCGGGTGGTCCGGACAACTTGGCGGTTTTCTCTCGTTCATGTTGGAACAAAACAAATACATCTGGCGACCACAAAATGTTGCCCGCACAAGCAATCGCACTTTAACAACGTCTGGTTTGCCCTTTTCGCGGCTACCATCCACGTTCTCGGACGAACGGAGGGGGCAGAAACACATGAAAACTGATCTTCGAACCTTTCCATGCAGACTCTCTTGATTGACCCTCCGTTGGGGCATTTTGACGAGAAGGTATACATTTTTTGCCTGGTTTCTCCCAAAAGAACACAGGAATGCATGTCTCGCACGGCGACTTCTGCCCACCGCCCCAGACCGGAAGTGGGCCCGACGCGCCACCACCGCGGCATGACGTAGCAGAGTTGAATTTGTATCTCCAGCTTAGGCAGCTTCGCGACTACGTGATAGTTTCCAAAAGACGTAGTTGTTCTCCAAATTGAGATCCGCACCAAAATTACTTGATCACCCAACTCGAAGCAATTCAAAACCAAGCAACCCGCTACATTTTATCAAATTATGACTATAAAAACAGTGTCTCTGCCATAGAAACAAGCCTAAATTTATCAACTCTGGAGGTACGCCGCAAGGTTGCACGTCTTCGCTTACTCCATAAACTTTACCACTACCATCCCACTGTTCGAAGCTCATTCCTGCGCACTCCCGCACGGTCATCTCGTCGGCTCAATAGCTGTTACAATTTTCAACGTATATCGGGTTCCGGTAATGCCTTTAACAAATCATTTCTCCCACTCACAATTGTGGACTCGAACGGTCTTCCAGAATCGCTCATTACAATAACTGACCCTGTGGTTTTCAAAAGCTCCATCATGTTGTATTTTTCCAGACCAAGTTAGGTTTTTTTTTTAGCTACGTTGCATGAGTGTGCGTTGTTATGTATCTTTATGTTGTTTTTTTTTCATTTCTTGTATAATTTTTTGTGTTGCCCCCTCCTTACGCAATGTCCTCGAAAGAGGACCCTTAAGGATTAATAAATGAAATGAAATAAATGAGATGTCACTGGGGCAGCTGCTACTATCTGATTGAACTTCAGACGATCAATGTGGTGATTTAATGTCGCAAGAGAACTTGCCACTTCATTTTCTTGTTCATTACGGTCTCGTACTTTTCTCCCAAATCTCCATCTGCCACAAATTGCTGCAAATCTTGGTTCAGAACCTTAAGTTCCTCACTGCTTACTCTGAGACGTCTCAGCAATGTTGTAAGGTGTTTGTGATTGCAGTTGTTATTGAAAGTTACATCACTGACCTTGTTAACGAGTCGAATTGTTTGACCGCGGCGAGCTGTCATTTTAGTCCAAACCCGTTCCATGTCGTCAGAGCACCCTTTGGTTCCGGTCGAAGCCATTAAAGAGGCGACGGTTCACGGGTTTCGACACCAAGTGCACTTGATAAATAATTTGACGACCTACGTGTTTTAGTACGTATAAAAGGGTAATGGGACGAGGCCCGTTTGAGAACCGCATTGTTGCATATAAAATAAAGGGGGGGGGGGGGGGGCGTGCTGCAACCTTGTAGGGTCAGAAGTACTGTTTTAAGAGTTTCTCGCCAAGACCAAAGCGGCCAATGGGCATCCACACCCGCACACTGTCTCCGGGTTAGACGTCGCGAAGACGCACGATGTACCGACAGGCATTCAGGCGTTGAAGTCATATTATTTACTCTCTGTTTTTCATTTGATTTGTATTCAAATAACAAAAAAGAAATCGTCAAGCAAAACACATTTATATCATTCTAAACACGAGCAAAAAAAAACTGCTCTTTTCAAAAAATCGGAGCGTCGAAGCTTAATTTCCACCTTCCACAACGTTTGTGAGCTATGTAACATCCTATTGCAACCAAATCAGAGCGGAAAACAAAGAAACGCGAGCTAGAAAAGTAATGTCCTACTCCAAAAAAGTCAAAACTCAAAAGAAAAAATGTTTCGCTAAATAAAAAATTAAGCTGCGTTTGTTCTTGTATAGGGGAATTGCAACAATAAACGTTTCTTAATAAACTGTACTTCGCATTTAAAGTAATGTTTTCTCCCCCATTCTTATCAGTGAGTAGATTAATTGATCAATAAATCTGCCACGTTAAAAATACATGTAGTTGTAAATAATTACTATTTTATAGCAGTAACTTAAGTAAAAACAATATGATTAAAAGTAAATAAATCTAATGGCCATCGTATAAATCTGATTTTTTTTTTTAATCTTGATTTTATTCACTTTCTTTTTCGGTAATTTTTGCTTCCAGACAGTGCCCTAGTGATCTGTCCGGAAACAATTGAGCCCCGCAGCAAGCGTCTTCTTCATCTCGGCAGAAATCTGAGCTCTTGGGTGTGTAGAGGGATGGTACTTATTCCTTGGTGAATCTCCAATGAAATTGTCTCCCCTTCTTTGGGTAGTACCGTGAACGTTTGCATCAGTGTCGACAGGTACATGAAAATCTCCATCATGGCAAGCGTCTCTGCTGGGCACATACGCCTTCCTGTAAATTGTTCGGCTTCTGTGAGTACGGGCTTCCTTTTTCAAAAAAGGTATCAATCATAGGAATAGGAAGAAGAGTAGGCGACATACAGGATCAAGCCAGCCAAACGAGAAAATCCTAAGTGAAGCGGAAGTAGACGTCGCCGTCGGTGTGAACGCCCCCGGGGGTGCCCAAGGGTGTCCTTTGCGTCCAAATGCGTCTTTTGGTTTTGTCAGTGTTTGGTCAGTGATGGGGGCGTGTCCCCGTGGACCATGAAGTCTCCTCCGGATTTACCTTTGGTGGCGTCACGTCGACTCCATAAGCTTCCTGCTTATGGAATTCACGTAATATCGATCGTCATGGCTACAGCCACTCAATGAACTACGCTTCAGGTCAGCCATTTTGGCGCTTAAAATCATACTCTTCAGGGGAGTAAAGCTTTATTTGAAATCAGAAGAAACGCGTTTCCGCCGTGCAGATATATTAAAGCACTCCGCGCACAGAGCTTAAAGATGTAACCTGAGCTTCTCAATAGCTCATCGTAAGCCTAAAAAGTCGCAGTTGAGGATCACAACAATCGCCAATGGCGCCCGCTCTGCACTCAGCACCGTAATGGCGACCCTACTCGAAAATCGGGCAGTAGAGTGCCGTAGTTTTAGGCGTAGCTTATTTAGTGTTTCTAGTCCTGACTAAAGTGACTGAATCCTGGGAAAGTAGGGCCAAGCTCCCTGTATGGTCGCCATTTAGGTTCACGTAATGAGCAGTTTCTCCTCCACCTCACGATTCCTGATGAGCCGGCCCATATTCCCGGTGACAGCTTGCTTTATCAAGACATTTCTTGAATGCCTAAATTGTGTTACCTACACACCGGCGAAGCAGCGCCCCCATCTTCGCACCACCAACCATGCGGCGCCGTTGCTCGGCGGACTTAAAGGGGCACTCAAGCGTTTTTTGGAGAAGCTACTTGTTGGTGCGATGGCGTTAAGGAAGTGTCAGTGAATGAGTATCTTCAGTTTTAGAAGACAGAACCGTCTATTAATTACGCAGGAATAAAATACGTGCGGGCTCTTTTCTGTACTTGCGAGGACCAATGAAATTATTGTATGTTTGAAAATGTTGGCGGTCTTTGTAATGTTTCGCTAAAGAAACAATTTTCAGTTCATTTAAATATGTTGCGCATGATAATTTCACAAGACGTAAAATATTTCTAGCTTAGAATACGCGATACTGCAATTATCGTTTCACAAACAAGGGACTACGTTTTCTCCTTGCCTTCCTCCGCGGGGGGTGAATTTCCCGTTCCCCAGGGATGCGCGGAAGCGCACGTATCTCCGCGCGTTGCAGGCCGGTCGTGTCTGTCGCGGGCCGGCCGGCTCCTTCCGCAAACATGGCGTCGGTGGTGGTGATGGGCGGCCTCGACGGCGTGGTGAAAGGTTATCGTTCCGCGTAAAAGCACTATCCTTGACTGTTAATTTTCGTCGTGTGTCGCTATGATAACCCAGCACGTACTAGAACGGAAGATTCACCTACGCGTGCGGCGATGTCGTGGCGGCACTCTCAAGACGGCAGAAACGCCCGTGCCGTCGTGTTTGTTTACTTCGACTACAATGGTGCTTTCTAAGCATTTGTGTCCTCGAACATCGCCCGGATTTCTTATTTGGCGCATTTCATGCGTGTGCTCAAGTTCAAAGTATTACTGGCGCGTACCGTATAAAGGATGCGAATTTTCACGCGTTTTCATCACCGGAGAAAAGTGATTAGTGTTAGCAATTTTGAACGCTCGCAACGTCTATCTGATCACGAAATCATATTTCTACGTTGAAATATCGCTGCTAAGTTTACATTGTCGTTTATAATCGTAGAAAAGGCGTGTGGCGATATCTGTACTATTGCAATGTCGTGTATTAGAGTCGTGATCGTCCAAGACAGCGGACTGCATCTTTTGGTTTTCTTTTTTTTCATCCACTGTACCCTGCAAGCCTATCAAGAAAAAATAATAATAAAGCTTTAGGCTATAGAAAACTGTCTGTCTTTAATATGGTACGGCATTGAGTAGCAGTGCGTCCCCTTTTTACAGGGGCCGCTGAAACAGCTGACGGTGGCGTATAGAAGCGGTCGCCGTGCTGACGACCCGCTGCGCTTCTTGTAGTGGTTGCAGGTGTGTGTACGCGCGGCGCAGAGCGGTCGTTCCGGTCGCTCCGGACGCAGTCGTAGGTACACGCTCGTTGCACATGTCTGAACCAGCCTTCCCCCCGTCCTCCCGAGGCGTAAGTCAACGTGGCGACATCGTTTGACATCACGTACCAGAGGTAACGCTGCGATGTCAAACGTTGGTTTGGTTACGATTTGCCCCAACCGCAAATCGTTTGCGGCTGGGGCGTTTCGTCGTCCTCGGAACCCGAACATGACTCCGAAGCGCTGCTATCGTCCACATCGCACATCGGAGTGGCATCACAGGAAATCATCCCCAGGTCGGCTGTCCGCCGAAGAACTTCAACCTCTAACGGCGCCAGGTCCTCGAGCGTAGAGAACTCCGCCATGATCGAAGCTCAAATGACAAAGAGGTTCGGCCGATGCGGCTACCTCGGGATCACTGCGCGACGGAACGTCGTCCAACACCATTGGCCCGAGAGCGTTTTGATAAGCGTGCGAGGACCAATGAGAGTGATTTCGTTTTCGGATGGATCCGAGGTTTGGCCGCCTTTAATTACATTTTATTAAATAAATAATCACCGTATGACTGTACTTTTTGGTTTTTAGGGTTACTTAGGGCGTCTAAATTCAGCTGTCATCATCAAAACACGAACTCAAAAACCACTTGAGTGCTCCTTTAAAAATACTTTTCCTGTTTTTCAGAACTCAAGAACAACAAAACAATTCTAAGAGATCTGCGGAGCATGATCGATAAGTGGATTGCATGCACACCGTCAAAAACACTTGTATGGGCGAGGAACGTTTTCACTACTATGATGATCAATAGCGAGCTTCGTGCTATGGTTCACAGCGCCCTTTTTGAAGTTGCGAAAATTTGAATGGACCAAAAATGGAGATGGCCATGGCAACTAAGCGCGATCAGTCAATCATCTTGCAAGGTTTGGTCGTCTGTAGGTTAGTATGTATTCGTGACCGTCTAGGAGGCAGGGAAGGGAATGGCGATACTTTTCCGGGATCCATTGACTGTAGTCCCGACTACAAACGTGCTAGAGACATCGCCATGTGCCGTGGGTGTGCTGGAGAGCGGTTTGACGAAACACTTTTTCACTTCCAGAAATCCACGTTACCCCATCTTAAGGAACGGCGTCCGCCCCTTTCTCCATTAGTTTGCACGCAGACGCTTGATTATATACTTGTTGGTGAGCGCGTCCCTGCCCTTGTTTAAACTCTTGCTAAAGTTGCAGCATAATGATTAACGTGTTTTTTTGTTTTTGTTTTTTTTTTTGGTTTTGGCGAAACGCACAAGCATGGCGATTGGCTCTGTGGATGGCGGAACTCGGTAAGATCCAAATACGTAATTTTGCCTCATATGCCCAGGCTTATTTCGAATTTTCTCCTTTCCGAGTCGCCCCTTCGGCATCTGGCTATTTTGGTTACAAAAGGTTGAACTTCTTTGTGCTGGCAAGTCCGAATAAAGACCGGTATACGTAAAAAAAAACAATGCTTCTTGTGTTCCCGACTACTCTGCCTGGCGAACTCTGTCAGGACGTGAAAAATTCGACCGAGCTGGACATTTTGTTTCCAAGCGTAGAAAAACTCGATTTGATACACATTGCGTTCGGCGAGGTTTCGGACCGGAGGTACGTCACGGCCCGGAGAAGGGTAACAAGAGGGACAAAGGACGAACACAAATCTCCAAACACAGCTAGGTGAGAAGTGTGCGACCGAAAAATCCGCCTGGTGCAGTATCGAACCCGGGACCTTTCCTTACAGGTGGAGCGCTCTGCTTTCACTTGTAAGGAGAGGGCTACACCCGCATGGCATTTGGTAAGCGACAAATATAATAACTCATGAGTTACAAGGCTCTGAAGTTGTCACCGCATTGTCTCGTGGGAGCGATTTCGATCACTTCTAGAGAAGATACAACAAAAAAGGGGGAAATCGCATCAAGCCAATTAAATCCTCATAGGATCGGCAGCAATAATAAAAAAAATTAACGAAATAAAAGATAACCTTTTTTGATAAAGTGAGTTCAAAATATCGGTTAATTTCATTTTCAACGATATTTCAAATTTTATATAAAAAATTCAGTGAAAATATAATAAACCAAACTTATGCCCATCGATAGCCCATGTATAGGGCTACACCCGCATGGTATTGAATAAGTGACAAATATAACAACTCATGAGTTACAAGGCTCTGAAGATGTCACCGGATTGTCAAAGAGACCATGTTTGGCATTTTTTATCTCAATAAACAAAGATACAAAAGTATTTTCCTTTGAACTAAAACATAGCCCAAATAACATACAAGAGCACAAAAAATTACTGTGAGTTTTGTATGCTTCCCGTATTCATACCAGCGTACAGAACTGGGTAGAAAAATCACGGAGTAAAAAACAGATTTTCACCCTGCTCCACTCAACAATCTTTTGTGAAGCGAAATTTTTTTTTCTTTTTTTAAATTTCGGAGAGCGGTTTTGTTATTTTCATAAATGAAGCAATTACATATATTTTTAAAAAAAAAATCAAAAGACCCACCCCGACAAGCGTGTTCGATTTCAAATGAAACCACCCCATAATTGTAAAGGTATTCATTTTTTCCTCGCTTCATTTTCATTTTTTGGCAGATCCGTATATGCGCCAAGTACATAACTTTTTTATATACATATTTTCGCTTCTTTTGAAACTTTGATCTATAAATATCTTCGCTGTACGCTTATATGTGATATACAAATATGTACAAAATTTACATTTTCCAACTAAGTTGGTCCTCACTTCAAGAACTTCTCATTTATGAAAAGCGAAGTTTTGCTACGCTTTTTAGTTGAAAGGGTATTTTCATTTATCTATCGAAGCCCTGCTTTCAGGTTCAAAAGTGGCTTACCTGCAGTGAAAGGCATCAACGCCGCTGGCTTCGGCAATAATCTAGTGCGATCTGCATTCAAAAAGCGAGTAGGGTCAAAATCGAAAGGGTGTCTCCAAATCTCGGGGTCGTGATGGATTGCCCAGAAGTTGAAAATCACCGCTGTGTGAGCGGGAACGTGGAAACTGCCTATACTGGTATCGCGTTCAGCCCTGCAATGCAAAGGAAAGCAACAAAATCTTAAACTGACTTTTTACCTAAAATTGGACCCATGTATAAAGCCAAGACGAGCTAAAACACCCTACGTATAAATATTAAATGGCATATAAAAGGTGCGACGCAAAACTCATTTTGCTCTTTATTGGATTCAAAATTTCCTCGTCTGAGGAGCATTTCGAGCAGCAGCGTGTTTTCCGTAAAACCCGAGTCAGTGGAGGAGTCTATCCCTTCACTATGTCCGACCAGTAACATCGATTGTTGGTACGTTTCGCAGCAGTCTGAAATAAAAGCGCATAATGTTCCCGGCGCGCCGTGCCTCCTCCGATGGTTCGTTTAAGAAACAGGTAATCTTAAGGAATTCGATGGCTACAAGATGGCCGTTATGTGCAATGAAATAGATTCGAGGTGTGAAATATTTACGAAGCCGGCTCGCCAGCGAGCAAATATTCGGGTATTCTTCTTTCGCGGAACATCGGACGAGATCCTTGATCCGACTTTCGTAAAAAAAAAGTGAAAGCCGTTTACAACTCCCTGTAACACCGAATTAGAGCGCAGCTCTTGAGGAGGAGGGGGGAAGGGTGGGGGGGGGGGGTGAAGTGACCTGGGGGGTCACGTGACGATGCCGATGATGTCATCAGTGACGATGAGGACTTCGGTGACGTCATCAGCGATGATGACGATGCGGATGTCGGTGACGTCATCAGTGACGCCACTGATGACGTCATCTGTGATGATGACGATGCGGATACGGATGCCGGTGACGTCATCAGTGACGTCACTGATGACGTCATCAGAGATAATAACGATGACGATGCGGATGACGGTGAGGTCATCAGTGACGTCACTGATGACGTCATCAGTCACGATGACGATGACGATGCGGATGCCGGTGACGTCAGTGACTATGACGTCATCAGGGAGGTCACGTGACCTCGGCGGCGGGTCACGTGACCCTGGGGGTGGTCACGTGACCTCGGGGAGGGGGTCACGTGACCTCGGGGTGGTCACGTGACCTCGGGGGTCACGTGACGTCGGGGGGTCACGTGACTTTGAGTGTCACGTGACCTTGTGGGTCACGTGACCCTAGGGGAGGGGTCACGTGACCTCTGGGGGTCACGTGACCTTGGAGTGACCTTGGGGGTCACGTGACCTTGGGGTGACCTTGGGGTGACCTTGGGGTGACCTTGGGGGTCACGTGACCTTGTGGTGATCTTGGGGGGTCACGTGACCTTTTGATGACCTTGGGGGTCACGTACCTTGGGGTGACCTTGGTTACGCCGACGCCGACGGCGACGCCGCTCAAGCCGGGAACGGGCCCCTAAGAGCTGCGCTCTAAAACGACCCCTGCCCCCTTCCCGATTACCCCTAAAATGCTGTTCAGAGTTACCGCGTTATCTCCAGAGGGAGCACTTCACGTGCTACATATTCGTTTTATGGTTATGAATTAACGTGGTCGAAGTTAGCCGACCGGAAAACTCGGCTGGCTCGAACCTCTAGTTTCACCATAAACAGCAGAAAATCCGTATTCTGGGAAAGTACAGTCACTCTACTGTTGGACAGCTCCCGTTCCCTGATGTTGTTGTAGGAATAGTTTTTGATGTCCATGAAAGTTATGTAGTATTCGGGTCTTTGGAGTACATAACTGGCAAACTCATTTTCGCAACGTTGGCCCTTTCAAGGTGCTACACTTCTGAGAGAAAATAGCCTGCACTTCCCAACTTGAAAGTTAAAATGATTGTTTATTTTCCGTCTTCATTATTTGATTTGTGAGTGCTGAGGCTTGCTACATACCAATCATGTCAATCTGCACTTTGATAGCTGCATAGTTCCTTGTAACATTCTTCTCGGACCAAACCACCACTGCTGCTACGGTTCACAAAGGCTTGCAGCGCAACCTTCAACGATTATTGCATACGAGAATGCGAAGATCGGAATAAAATTCGCTGCGTGGAAGAGTATCAGACTTACGCAAAACGCAATACGTGAAAGAGGTATGAAAAATTGCTACGGTAAAATATTGTTCGCTGTGTCGTTCAGCCTATGATTCAATTTGTAGATTGCAGTACATTAGCCAAACAATATCTTTTAGGTGTATTATGGTGTTTATATAGTCAATACAAGACTGAACAATGAATTCACTATGTTTGAGTATTGAGTGCAATTTGCCGAGCAAGTCATTACGAAAGGAAAATAAAAGTCGAGATTATCTAAATCATTATTTGAATCATGATATATATCAGACCACTTCTGCTATAATGGGTTAAATCAAACCTTTCCCTCAAAAATATTTCCCCAAAAATATTTTATTTCCAGTTTTTTTTTATCATTTGATGCTTTGTATGTGCATTTGATTTGTACTAAAGTTTAAAAAAAATCATTAGGCAAGATCTAAATCAGGCTGAGCACGAGCAAAACGCATTGCTCTTTTAAAAAAATCAAAAATTTAGCTTTCTTACTATCTTCTACTTCGTTCGTCACTTACGTGACCTCCTATTGCAAGCAAACCAGAGCGTAAAAGAAGGAAGAAAAAACGTTAAAACGCAATGTCTTAGTGCAAGCAAATCAGAGCACGCAAGCAAGGTAACTAAAAGAATCAAGCCGTTTTTGTTTACATGGGTTACATGAATAAAATGTAGTTGAGTCAACGGCAGTTTACATATTTATTATTTTTGCTTCTGCATTGTTATCTGTGATCGAATGGATTTATATGAAACATTTTTTTTATATTTAAAAATACATGTAGTAATAAAGAGTCTATTTTCTGGGTACTGTGATAAAAATCAATTAATCGTATTTAAATCAAACAGAACTGATTTAATTGATTAAAACAAAGTCATGATTTTTTTCATCCTGTTCCAAAACGCGTCTTTTTAAGCTTGAGAAGTGTAGCTGGCCTATAAGAGCAGGAGAGAAGACGTGGCAAGACGGGCAGATCAAATGTGCAACGAAGCTTCAACGCCGCCCATGTTGGGTCGGTCCTTGGTCTGGAGCATTATCTCGGCTTCTTGTCCGTGGGTTCCTCTTTCGTTGGAAGGAGTCTGGCAGTTTTTCGACAACAAAAAACGCAACCTTCGAGGAATGTCCTTTCCCCTTCCTGCAAGGATATATCCGAGCTTGCAAAAAAAACGGTGTATTTCCGAAAGCCGCAGAAAATTTACGACAGCCATTTTTATACCTCGCAGACGACGCCGGCGATTCGCCTCTAAACCCTTGAGTCTGACGTGGGTAGAGATAAGGGCAGATTGCCTTCGAGTCTCGCAGTCATACTCCCAGTCATAGCTCGGCGTTTTCCCGTTAGCACACCCTCTGCGCCACAAGTGGGCGAACTTGCTTGCCGCACATCTTTCGACCGGCGTGCTTCTTAGTTCTGGCGCCTTCACCCCAGTCGCCAGCCGTACCTCCGAAAAGACACCAGTGCCGAAACAAAATAACCGAAAAAAATAAATAAAATTCAAAGGAACAAAGTGATATATACGCACTCCCTGATGAGTCCCAACGGAGTTATGGTCCTCCAGCGAAGCGTCTCCCAGATTACTGCCATGGTATAGGGCATCCTATGTCTGTCTTCCCATCCGGGAGCCCTCTCCCTACCCAGCACGTTGTCGACCTCCTGCTGTAGCCTCCTCTGAACACCTTTCGGGTCCCGGGCACAGAGGAGCAAAATCCATTCTATGCTGGTGCTGACCGTGTTTGATCCGGCTCCAAACAGATTCTGGACGTTACCTATCAAAGTGTGTACTGCAAGAAAATCGGAAGTCGCCACGTGCTACCGTTAATAATGCTCCCCTATTCAGAGCAAACAAACTCAGCACAGGTAAGAATGCACTCACGATTGAAGCTTGAGTTTCTTCCCTTATTCTCGCTTATCTTTTTCAGATAAACATCGATAAAATCCCTATTCACGTTTGCGCTTAGCGTTTTAGAATGTTCGTTGACCTCTTTTCTGCAAGTAAAAGTCAGACTTCTTTTATTAAAGAACTACTTCACAGTAGAACAACTCTAAACTACGATTGAGGAATGATAAGGTAACTGGAAATATCAGGACGACGTAGGAAGTGTGTTACAGCCTAAGTTCGTAATTGTGACGTGTCTATGTTTAGTGGGAATTCAGTCAACTCAAATATGCTTCTGGTGTCAACCGCTGTCTATGAGAAGCCAGTGCGCTACAACTTCTAGCCTATGGAAGTTTAGCTTGCATCACGCAATAGCGATACAGGACCAGATGTCTGTAGTATGCTCAACCAAAGGGGTAAAGGGCAGGTATGGTGATTAAGCCCCAGATGTCGCAGTCGTTAGTATGAAAATGTGCGCAAGATTTGTAAGTTGTCGACATGAAATGTGCCGTTTTTCTGCATATTTTGTGTAAGGCTCTAGTACTTGCCTGATAAAATGAACGAGACCGTCCATATATTGTCTGAAGAGGCGAGACTTAGACAATGAAGAGTAGGACAGCAGCTTCCACACGGCGGGCAGAAAATCCCCGGCAGCAGCGAAGCTTGCGTTGCGCGCGATCATCTTTAATTGTGGGTTGAGGAACTGCCGCCTGGGATCATCGTGACCGTAGCGCTCTCCAAATACAAGAGCGGTTATGTTGTTCGAGACACTCGACATGATCACGTCTGCCGTTGGTGCCGGTCTGCTATTCCAGGATTTGAGGACATCGCAGAGCTCAGCTATCTCCTCCTGTTACCGACAAAAGCGGTAAATGTCATTAAAAGTTTAGAAACAACGTGGCACCTTTGACTACAGAACTAAGATAAATTCGTATCGCAACGAAATTACAAAGAGATCGTAAAGCGAGGAACAACACCGTCAAAATTTGTGTGACTTTAGGTGCCCAGCATTAACCAGGAGACGCCGCAATTCATAGAAAGGAACAAATTATTATGCTTGACTTACGGGATATGTATATCTACTGTATGTGGCGCAATGACTGGCATGCTTCTTTATGCGATTAATATGTTCGTTTTTTTTTTTCTGTCTCTATGTAGTTTTGAGTGCGAATGGAATACGAACAGCGGAGTGCGTGGCATGCGATAATTGCTCCTTTACATAGGGCAACTAGGGATTGATCAAATTACGGGATGGAAAGAGGGTTGCGAGGGTGCTCGCCTATTCCGATGTGCGTACCCTCGTAGCTCCTCCCTCCACTCTGCAGATTTATCAGGCCCTTGTTGCCTCTGGGTTGCGCAGTAAGTATCGAATGCCACGCGCTCCGATGTTTTCATTTCATCCCGACCCGATAGCACATTGATAATCAATAGGGGAACATAATATGGTGTTATACAACCTAATGTCTTTGGTCATGATAAGTATACGTATATTTATTTAACTGTAATGGATTACGCAGCACGTTATAGACAGCGCCAACATCTGTATAAAAATAGTTAATTTATTAAAAAAAGGATGCGTGGCCGCTTCTGGCATGCCAGCACTATCTCCCGAAACTGTTGTACACAGTTGGAGTGGTGACACAAAAAAAAACACCCTACGGCGCCATCACTATTATGAACATTCACTCCTAGAAGCATCAAGCCACACCATCGTTCGCTCCATTTTACGTATGGCCTTCTATCGAGATTTTTTTCTACTGCTGGGAAGCTTGCCTGTACTACATCAAACTTTGGTGCTGGTGGCACATGGCATTCTAACCAACTACTTATCACCGCAGTGTCGTTGAAGGCAGCCCCTCTTCTTTCTAATAAAGAAAGAACACAAACTACAAAAGTACGAACGGACATTTCATGTTTATCGTGTGAGAACGGCAGTACTGCTCTGCAGAGGCGAGCTAGAATGAGATAGTGTTTCAGTGTCCTGTGTACGCTTGTGTTTTGCATTTTACCGGGGCCTTCCGCTTCGTCAGCCACTGCACTAGCAAACGATGTGAAGTGAACAAGGTTCTTTTGTTTATGGTACCTTACAGCTAAATCTCCTAAACTGGCCTGAATTTATGCAAGATCTTTGTATAAACTTGAATATTTAACTTATTCTACCAACGCTACCAAATTACAGGATGGAACGTCTGTATTCGGTAAAAATATATATTTAATAAAACTTAATAAACTTAATAAAACTTAATAGACGTATATTAACTGAGACCTCTGACTGCGAGCTTCCAACTTCATCGTTGAAATTTTTTTTTTTTTTTTTGCCAATGTGCGGTAATTAGAACCCTATAAATATTTTTTTTTAAACAGAATCCCACGCAAATAGCTTGCCAGACTACCAGCGCTCAGTGGCGGATCCAAGGGGGGGGGCGGTGGGGGCGATCGCCCCCCCCAAACGCCTCGCCAGGCACCCCCCCCCCCCCCCCGGGGGTTCTTCGTCAGCTCGAAGAAAAAACGTAAACAATCGACGCGAGGGACAAAGGATTAAAACAGCGGTGGGTGGACGCGCCTGCTGGACGCTTCCAAAGTGGGGTTTATCTCCGCCAAGATCACGGTACGTCTTCCCGACAGGGACGGCGCCAGGAGTTTCGAAATGGAGAGACAGTGGGGAGGCGCACCAAATATCAGGGTCCTCGACTGCAGGCACACCTCCAAACAAGGCCACCACGTCGGGCACGGGGTGAAAATACCTTCAACATATCTAGTCCCCTTTCTCTCTCTCTCTCTGGAGGTTGTCTGCGAAAAATTTGTGCCCTGAAAGCTCCGAAACGCAGACTCCAAGCAGCCTTCCTCAACGGTACGATCCTATACACAGCGGATTATTCTTCCTCTCTAGCGGCCGCCTTTTCATCACTTTTCATTTGATGGTTTCTTCGTGGTTCTGGGCTTTCTTTTGGCATGTCTTTTTTGGCTTGCTTTGAGATGCTGTCGACCACAGGCTCACAAAGGAATCTTATTGGCACGGTGTGCTCATTGCCAAGGGAAGTGCGGAGGGGACGTACCAGGAGGAGACGTTCCAAGGGGGGGGGGGGGGGGGGAATGCAGCTTGTACTACCAGGTGACCAATTGCTTTTCTTCTCAACTGGGAGAGGAAGCAAATGCTGTGGGTACAGTGTAGTCTGGGTCTGAGCTTCTCCTGAAGACGCTCCGAGCTTCCCCACGACCTTGGCTTAAACATAAGCCCGCCTTCGTCCTCGCCTCCATCCCTTACTGAGGATCAGCGCCGCAGCGCGGACTACAGAAAGAAGCCGACGAGCGCCAGAAGGGGGAGATGTTTCCTGTAATGGGCTTCATACCGCCTGCGGTACGACTTCTCGTGGCGGGAAGCTAATAAAAGAACGATAAACGGTACGAGCACTCTAAAGGCTGGAGGCTGCTTACACGGGGTCCTCAAGCCGACGCCGTAGGCATTTATTTGTATACAATGCCGTTTCAACTTAGGGTGGCTGGACATATTTTAGGAAAGGCGCCCGCTACCCTTTGTCTCCCCTTGGCGCCGCCTTTACTTTTCGAGTTAAACGCGACTTCTGTGGATTGACGTCAGAGCTTTCGCGCGGCTTTGCAGGAGCGAATATGTGTGTGTCGAACGGAACAGAGGCGGGGCTTGCTGGTTTGCAACTGCGGCTTTGAATTCCCTACCTAGGGACTTGGGGAAAACGAGCCCTTTCAAAATTAAATAGACAGTGCCTGTGCCCGTTCGAGTGAACACCGGCTCCCAAACATCCATGGTGCAGTCGTGGTCGGCCTTTAGCCCAGTTGAGATTCGCCGACCGGACAACCGCTGTGCCCCATCATATCTCTGCACCTGTCCTCTCGACCCTGACGAATGAGCTAACTACCCAGAAACAAGTAAGTGTTCTTTTCATACAGAAAATATCCAGACGAAGTGCAACTGATTATAATTTGGAAGGATTCATTGCTGGTTTAAGGTCTTGTCTAAGTTTAAAAGTTATAGTTGCCGAACTGCAACATGGTTTCAAAAATATTCAACACTTATTCGCTTTCGTTCTCTTGAGTTGCATCCAGAACAAGTGAAAACACGAGTTTGGGTTGGCAATGCCGCATGTGCTGCGCTCTGGACATTCCAAATATACGGCGAAGAACCGACGAACTTGCCTGGCAGCGTTCGTTTCGCTCGCTGCGTCAACAGTGTTTTGACGCCGCGAGCAGCGTCGAAGCCGCCGGGCCATTTTTGTCGCTTGTTTGCAACGTACTCGCTCCATTGAAGCAACCGGCGACAATGAAAAGTATGTTTTAAAACTACGTTCTGCATTTTGGCACTGAATATAAAGCTCTAACTACTATGCCAAACTTAATCTCAAAGAACAGCCGAGTTTTAGATTAAAACGTTTTTCGGATTGTCATTAGCTGCATGAGCTTCCTCCGTATAGTTGGCAAAGGTTGGCTCTCCGTACATGCTCTCCGGGTGTAACGAGAATATATGAATATTCAAGCAAAAGAAGCCCGAAAGTTGTAGCCCCGCCGGGGATATCTGAGCCATCAAGTTACACTGTCTGGAATTGTCACAGCCGCTATAGCACCAAACATCCCAGTAGTTAAACTTCTTGTTCCATTTCTAGCGCGCTGCCACGCGAATGGAGTAATCCCGTTTTCTATGAACTACAAAATTCCTTGCGTTATGGTGTTCAGAAAGGATAGTGCCACCACAATTTTCTAGATACTTACCTCTAGCGTGGTCACCCGAAAGGTTTTAATTCAAAAAGTTCATCCCCGACAGGTAAACCGATACAAAAGCTCTCAAGATCTATATTATGTTATCAGAGTTTAGGAAAAACGATAACTCCACAAAAAATATAAACACTCCCCCCCCCCCCCCCGCCGTTTTACACCGAGGAACCGCCCCCCCTAAAATGGAGGTCTGGATCCGCCCCTGCCAGCGCTGCACATGTAGAAAGGAGTGCGTGGGCCCTTTAAAAGAACTAAAGTTATGAAAAGACCGAGAAAACGAGACTAGTCGTTTGCAATTATTCAATGATAGCGTAAGAAGCGGAAAAAGACACGCCACATAAAATTTAAAGGAACAGGGTTTATAAAAGCTGATATGTCGCATGCAAATGGCAAAGTTTGAAAAAAGGATCCATTTCTAGATCCTTAAAAAACGACATCACGAAAAGTCACAGGCCATTCTAGGATCAGTAGGTTACTCATAGAAAATAATTCTGCGTACCTAGTAAAGCCCCGATGCATAGCCAGAAATTGTGAGTCCTACCTCAGTTGATATAGCTTTCACCGTTCAAAGCAGCCTAACGTGCTGGTTAGCTTTGGAGCACCAAATAATAAAACTGTGAAACAGCTTGTGACTTAATGTCTAATTAACAAAAATAGCGTCTCTGTGTTTTCTTCCAAATCGGTGTCTAGTAACATTTATTGGCATTCATACACAAAATGCTGTTGTACCTTGATATGTTCTTCCATGGACTTTCTTCCGAATCCAAGGTCTCGTAACACCTGCATGCAGAACCTGCGGTTTTCAACCCATGCTTGTCCGCTGATACTTGCAATTCCTGTAAGACAGGCGCGTTTGATTATATGTTTTCGGGCGTGAAGGATTAGAGAAATACGCCCAAGGCTCGCTGCGCTTGTGAGTCATCTGGGTACTGCTTGCGCCGCGTGTTCTTAACAATACGCAAAACACGTGCGGGATCAACGCCGCCTAAAACCGGTAAATAAGCTCCGCTTCACACTAACGATGCTTATGCCACCTTAATGCTAAGATTATGTCTTGCAGTAGTATGAAGTTTTGTCTGATATTGAAAAAGTCGGTTTTCGGTCATTTAAAAACAGAATATTAAAGCAGTTCATGACAGAGCAATAGCATATCACCTGAGCTTCTCACCACCATAGCTAAAGTTCGAAAAGACGCCTTTTTGAGTTGTAGCTGTCACAATTTCGCCTGCTCTGCACCAATGGCGGCGCCCGCAGAAAAACAAATTCATGGGGAGCCGATACTTAACGCGTGTTTACTGGCTCAATTACCACCTAGCTAGAAAACCGTAGGACTGAATTTTACACCACACTAGGTACTCAGCATCAGCCCTTGGCAGATGTTGAGCCCCAGTGCTAATTGTCAGCGTTTGTCCGTAACTCGCATTCAACAGACCAATCTCACTAAGCGTTCCACGCATGCGTGACGCCGCCATAGCTGTAGCTCATAAAAGGCAGGCGCAAGTGCACGAGACGTTCGTGCCGCTTCGTGTTTTGCTCCCGCAAACCTTCACCGGGGTAGTCGTGCGTGCAAGACTACAGATCACATGATGCGTGGCCGCAGCAGTGGCGTAATCAAACTGGCTGTGAGATCGGTCTATTAGAATTCACAGCATTCGTGTGTAATTAATAGCGGTAATGAGTTGAGCGTGTTGGTACATACTTGAAAAAACAGCCTGAACTTAGGGAAGAAACGTATAGAGAAATCAGGAGAGATGAGACGAGATGGCTGACTGCCAACGAGTTTTAGTGAAAACTTCTTCCTCAAGCTGTAGCGTCCTACAGCAGAGGCATTTAAAAACAAAAATCTACAAAAAAACTTTTTTTAGAAAGTAAAAAAGGGAGACATTACCATCAACATCACCAGAATGTTTAGTTCCGCGAGGTGCTCGAAGCGCTTGCCATCGAGAGATGGCAAGCGCTTCGAGCACCTCGCCAAAGATGGTATCAGCGCACCGTCTATTTGTCTGCACCATTCAGAAAAACGATTTCTCCGGTGTGCCCCACCCAAAGTACGGGTAGCATGAGCTGGAGTGGGGCAGTGTAAACAAAACGTTTTCCTATTAAAAAAAAAAAAAAAAATCTTAGTAGACCCTTTTTTTTAATGCCTTTGTTGGAAGACGACACAGTATGAGGAAGAAGTTTTCACTCGAACTCGTTGGTAGTCAGCCGTCTCGTCTCATCTCTCCTACTTTTTCGCTACGTTTCTTCCCCCAATCTGTTCTTTTTTTTTTTTCGAATTGTGTTTATTCTTGCGCGAAGCAAAAGGTTCATCCTTACGGCTTTCTATCTGGGTGGTGCTGGTGAGAGCAGGTGATGAATGTGCGAAGCCAAGCAACAAAAAGAACATTAAAAGCGGGTAAGGATTCTCACTGCCACTAAAGTCACTGGATTTGGGAAAGTAACGCAATTGCCTTCCCTACCTGCTAGCGGGATAAAAATAGACACTAGCATAAAGACAATCATAACCTTATCAAGCGATTGGTTATTGGTTGCCATGACAATCACCATTAATAGACCTTTCCAGCGCTGATCACACAGGTGAAAGATACCGCGTCACTGGGATGCGGACATATGCACGGAGTCTGATATTCCGCAGAAGAGAGCTACTGCGCATGCTCAGAACGCCTTAGGCAGCCAAGTAGACAAAGATAGCAGCGCGCATAAGGCGATTATTAGAAAGGTCTTTTCCACAAAGATTTGTGGGAGTCATTCTGAACCCGCCGCGCCAGGGCTGCGACGGCGCGTCATCGCACTAAAGATTTCTCTGCCAATCTAACCGTCTTTGGCACTGTATACGCAAATAATATATAACCTGAATTATTTGTATTGATATCTTAAAATTATCTTGTTTTTGTGGCTATTTTATGAGAGCAAACGGTTTTTCTGTGCCGCCAAGCACCACCGCCGCAAGTGGTGGCAGTGCAAAAATGTGCAGTCGTTTTGTTGCCAGTGACAGTCAAAGCAAACGGAAAAAATCTGCTAACTTTCTACGTCATGGTGTAAGACGTGACCACAAAATACTGGTTACATGGATTACGTAATTTAGTTCTGATCTACTGAAATCTGGAATAAAAAGAAATGTCTTTATGAATCAACCTGCTGCCGCGCTTTTGGATTGGATCACTAACACTAAGAACAAACTGCTGACCCCAAGAGGACCAAAATGTCCACCGTACGGGGTGTTATTATCTCAGTATTCTTAACTGCAACCAGATGCAGTTTTCTTTAGCCACTGGGGTGAGTGTCGCCATCGAGGTGTTTAGTTAATGACTTGTTCAAGCTGGCATCCAAGGTACCTTCTCATTTCCATGGCTAGCTCAATAAAATGAGAGCGCATGAAAATAATATTTTATGCACTCTATCGATGTGCATGCCTTCAATAAAAAAACTTCAAATTAGCCCTTGTCTTATTTTGACTAGCTAAATCAAAAGCACGGCAAAGGTCAGCGCATAAGCGAGAAATGCACTTCAAGATCGAAATCAAGGTGTCTTTTTCTTTTCCACGTGAAAGCCCTGCTTATGTTTTTTAATGACACTGACCAGCATTAGGTTCCGACTGGTTTTCCTTGATAAAAGGAGTCAAGAAACTTGCAAAAGTTAGATAGATGAAAAAATAATGATAATAATAATACAAATATTTCTTTTATGTACACAGGCATGTTTGAAGCTGGGTAACCGGACAAAAGGTCCCCAGACAAAAGCTCACCTAATTTTTTTTTTAAACCCAGCAAAAGCTTAAATTTATTTTTATATCACCGGATCGAAAGCTTACACGGCGTAATTCAGGCTGGGCTATATTTTGGGCACATGGAGACACGTCCACAGTTGTTGGAGAACTATATTCTTTAAACCGAGATAACTAAAAACCAAGGTCAACGTTTTGCAGAAGCCTGCCAAGCAACATGCATAAGATACCCAGAAAGAACTGGATTTGATGCTATAGAAACATTAAATCACACCCCTCGTATCATAGAATGTTGCCACAACGTTACTGGAGTGTGGAGTGTGGCTAATGTTGAGCAACACGTGTCGTATAAGATAATGTGACTGCAAAGTTACTACGATAAACATTTGGTAACATATTCTAAATATATTTTAATGTTACCAAATTTTGATGTCACAATTCGGAACCTTTATTGATGGTACTGAAGCGTAGTAAAAAAATGTAAGGGAAATATGAGTCAGAAACATAGTGTGATGGTTACAAGGGAAACGTTTCAAGAATTCGTATTTGATATGAATTAAACGTGAAACCAACATGCATGAGCGCAGCTAAAAGCACCATTGTGAGGATTTCTCATTGGTACCCGTAAAAATATTGCAGAAAAGTAGAAAACTTGGGAGAGGCATAACTTTTAATGCAGGTGAAGCCAGCTTTAGGGAGATGTTAGCAATATTGACTTCAAAATTATGGCACTAGTACGAAAAATGTGCAGAGTGAGTAGACGTTCCTCGCGTTTTGGTAAAAGAGATCAGCTTAATGTGGTACAAAATAATTGAGAAGTGTGATTTCAATCGCTGAAGAACAACACAGGTTTGCAAAACTTGTTGATTAACGGGGTGCTCACCTTGTATTAGTGAACAGTTTTAAATGGAGCGGCATATTTTAGAGGTTTAAAATTATATTTTCGTCGGACATAATGAAACCCAAGACGGGCGCAAAAAGGGACAAAGCAGGCCTCTTTTTTTTCTGTCTAAAAGTGCAATGTATACGTTCTAAATGCACGCTGGCTCTTTCCTATGCATTTACATTACATATGTTCACCACAAATAACATGCTGAGTCGACAGAAACCTTAAACAGTGAAGTAAATATCTTTCCTTTTATTTGTATACGTATCCTTATTGCCCTTAAAATATGACAAAAAACAACCTGCATAAGGTGCATAGGAAACATATTTTGTACTCAGTGGGGTACTGCTGCTATATTGTTGTTGCCATTGATATGGTTGAAGAAGATAATCATAGCTGCTCCATCATGCACATTCAATTCGTCATCAACAGCCATCCCATTTGGTCGCACTTTCTACGTTCAGATGGATTTCAGCTTATTCTCAAGCGGAGATGTTGTGCAATCACAGTACGCACATCTTGCGACATAACATTGCACATACATTTGTTTTGGTGATATTGATGTTTTCAGGTCAAGCTGTAGTCATATCAAAAATTTTGGATATTGGCCGCATCGTCACAACGTTAGCAGATCACATTCTATAAACGTTGTAGCAACATTTGGTGCTGCTTTAATGCCAGTGGTCTTATAGAGTGATTACTGCATACCTTTTCGTGGGTACTTAAGAACCCTTTTTTTATCGAAGCCAATATTTATTCGAACAAAATCTGCATTCTTAGAAGAATATGGTTAGTTGTATACAGCAATGTTTTTACTTTGTGAAAATAAGGGATCTTATTACTTCTATTTGTATTTTCTTGGTTAATTGAGTACATTGTTTAGATTTATTCTTCTCTGCTACAGATAATAATGTTTATATCTATGCTTAATGGTCGAGCAAAGGGTAAAAGCCTCAATCGAGGTTTGACTAGCCCTTATCACCATACATTGGCTTCGCAGCAAACAAAGGAGAAAATAATGTAACGCAGTAACAATATCAAAACATGTACCCAGTTATTTCAAACAAGAAATGAGAAACACACGGGACGCATATACATCACCTAACAGACAGCACCAGCATACACAAGCAAACACGAAAAGTTTAAAATAAGTTGCCGAAGTCGGTACTACAGAAAAAAAGTACACAGGGACTTGTAGTGGATAGTGTTTAAGAAACGTTATTTTA